ATTTTTTATCAATCACCACTTCCTGTTCCTTTGTGCTTCTAAATATTTCCTGACAGAAGTCAACCGCTTCTTTCCATGACCACCCAGGCCCAGGCCACCACCATCCCTGACAGGATATTTGGCCTTCACTCTTTTCTGGCTCTGATCAATCCTCCATACAGGGAGGAGAGAATTGTTTTTAACCATGAAATCTGGTTATATCTTCACCTTTATTTCATTTATATCGAAACAGTTCATCTAAAATTTTAAAGTATTAAAGCTCTAGAATAGCGTGCATGACCTGACATGGTTCAGCCCTTCCTGCCTCTTGCCCCTCGCTCCTAGTGCCACAGCTGCTTGCCTGGCTAGAACGCTCACCTCTGCTCTTCACTCTTTCCAAGGGAAACATTTTCTGATTCTGTGGTGGCCAAATCCCCTTTAGGTACCTGTTTGCATTAAGCTCATCATTAATTTATATTTATAGAAGCTCCTCAACTTACAACCAGGTTATATACCAAAAAGGCTGAAAATATCCACAGTCAAAGACACTGAGCACATGTAATCTAACAAACACCCTAACTTAGAGTGCTGCTTGTCTCCTTTGTGACCACATTATTCACTGAGCTGTGCAGCATACAGAGAGGCTTGTGTAACATAGTGGGAAAGATCAAAACTCAAAGAATAATTTCTTCTTAATGCACATTGCTGTCACGCCATTGTAAAGTTTAAAAATTATAAATCAAATAACTGCAAGTGAGGGACCTTCTATATTAAACTGTAATGGGGCAGAAATTTGATCTTCTTTATTTTCCATTCTGATAATTGCATGTATTACCTTCCCCACATATAATAGGTGTTTGATGTTTGCATAAATATGTGAATGAGGGGAAGTTGTGACAAGGATTATAGAGATTGGTAAAAGCAAAGAGACAACACTGCAGTACTCCTCTACACACAAAGGGTAAAATAATGTAACTTCATCAAAACTTGCAGCCACACAGAGCTGTGCCCAGAGTGACTCCCTGTCTGGGATGAGATGAGATCATTTAAAAACTTCAGCACTGTTAGCATTTTTCAGAATGGCTTAATGAAGGAAAGCTTCTTGGAAGATGGAAGCCCTGTGTGATGGTCCTTATGTGCACACTCTCCAGCTGTGAGAATTTTGACAAGGTATTTCATCTCTCAAGTTCTTTGTTCACATCTCTGTGGAAGAAGAAGTCTGACCCAGAAAGGTTTCACATCCTCTTCCAGGTCAGATGCCAAAATCACTTGTCATTATTGACAAAAAAGCTTCATAAACAGAAGAGCAATAAAGGAAAAGCCTCTGCATTTTGGAAAAAGGTGAGATTTGAACTGGACCGGGAGGTAAAGAATCAGATGAGTTTAGAGCATATAAGGACATCTATCAGAGGCATAGGGTGGGGATATGAGATATTTGGATGGCAACTAGTGACACAGCAAATATGCCTTTCCTTCCACCCCACCTGCTCTGGTCCTTTCAGAAGTTGGTAAGCCACTGCTCTGATACCCAGAATCCAGTCAATCCCTCATACTGGAAGCTTTGTTTGGAGACCCTCCTCAGGGCCTTGGGCCACCCTAATTGCAACAACTCTATTTTCATTGCCCCACTAGAGCCTTTTGAAACACAGAGGCCAAGGTTACTCATGGATTGTACATGTGTTAGTAATGCTAAAGTGTGGCCATGCTCCCAGGAACACAGACAGACAACAGAGCAATCAGCATCTCCAGGGTCCTGTGGAAAACGACATGGATTTTATTTCCATCCACCCCAGCCAGGAAGGCAGCCTGAACCTGGAGGTTCCACTGAGGCTGTTTAGTAAGATATTTGTTTACTTCCTTCCTGTACCTCTAACGATGTAATCCTTTCTGATTCTTTCCATGATTTTACTCTGAATGTAAAAGTATGATCTCACAGTTGGGGGCAATGAGTCTACAACACCACTGCTAATCTGCCAGCACTCCAGCTTTTGATATGCAGGGATAGAATAAAGGCAGAAAATATGTTCCTGGCAAAAATAACCGTTCCTCCTGACTAGGACAAATTACAGCCTTTCAGCAATGGTCAAAGGAAGTGGGGTGGGTGGTAATGGAGGATCAGGAGTTAATCTTGATCTCATATCCTTTAAAACAGTCTAAATGCCCACTTTACAGTCTTCAATGAGCTTAGCATAACTTAAAGCATCCTTTTTATCTTTATGATTAACTTATGACCTTATGTCACGCTGAGCCAGGGAAATTAAATATAATTATGGACTTGAAAGACAAAAACAAGGTCAAGTGTAAGCATGGAAAACATGTAGGAAGCCAGAGGATAAAAGGAGAAAGTGAGGAAAGAAGAAACAGTTTTCTTAGAATGTGGCTCATTCTATCTCTACATCTCTGATAGTTCAGCGTCTCTCACAGGGATTCTACAGTGCTAGGAAACCGCACACCTGCACCCCATCCTTCACTCTCTAGAATGTTGCAGGTGTTAAGCTTTCTATGTGACTCAGCTCCACTTGCCTCCCACTCACCAGACCCCAGTGTTTGGGAAAAGCTAGAGCAAAGGAAAGGAAGAAATTAGAAACCTACTTACCAGCACTTTTTTATCCATAAAGTCTTACTACTCTAGATGGGGGGGGACACCGCAATCCACAAAACGATAACCTCTGCCTTCATAGATCTTCTGTGCAAGTAGGGGAACATCACAAAACACAGACACATGAATAAGTGGAAGATACAGTGTATGAGAAGGTGTTAAGGCCTTTGTAGAGTCATCAATTTGTACCTCCAAATTGGGGTAGGTTTGAGAATTCAAGGAGGTGCTACCTAATAATTATTCAGAGCAGCAACTGTAAACAGGAACTTTCCTGGGCCAGAAAAGGAAGCACACAGTTAGGGGAATCTAAGATATGGGATTGAAAGGAAGATTTTTACAATTTTAAATACAGTCAGCAGAGCTAACCTCATAGAGGAGATGTTTTCTCACCCATCTGAACCACTTGTTCCCTCTTCTGCAAATGAAACGGTTTATCCCAAAGCTATTTCTAAGGTTAAATTCAATTCTGATACCCGTAATCAATGATCCTGGAACAATGGGCTATACTTCTGTGGTCTGGCATAAGAATATGGAAAGAGAGGATACTTGGGATGATGAAAGGATCACCAGAAAGGCAAGATGGCCATGTTTGCAAGTTACACATTGCACTTTTTTACTTTCTTTTCAACCACTAAGTGTACATTATTAAAGTCGCACAAGTAAACGTTGAGCTGTGGTCCAGTTGCTGGTGTTGGGATTCACAAGTGTGGTGACCCCCTCCACAGTGATGGGTCATTGTTAGGCTGTCCTGCATGCCCTTGTTATGTGGGGTATGCAGCTACTTTTTACAAAAAGTAATGGGGAAAACAGAATGGTTGAAAATAAATGTGAGGGAAATTCTGAATTTGTGGAAAGATACTGAGTTTTGAGTATAGCAGCCTAAATATAACAAGGGAACATCCAGGTGACAATGTCCAGTGACAGCTGGTATGTGGGGACTCAGGAGAATGAGGAAAGAGTCAATTCCGTGTAAGAGTTATGAGCACTGGCTTCAAAGTCAGGTGAAACTCTGTTCCAACCAGTTATTTAATTTCTACAAGCCTCCATTTGCTTACTTTTGGGTGATGATAATAAAAATTTCACAGGGTTTCATTAAATGGGCATAAAGTACTTAATGGGAAATGAAGTCTGTGTTAGCACTCAGTAGGTGGAGAGCAAGGCAGTTGCTATCACCCTGGTTATTGAACCGCTCACTTAGACTTGACGATTAAACTGCAAGTGTGAATAGTTTGGGGGAAGTGAAGGTGTAAGGAAGGGCAAGGCAGAGGTCTCAATGAAAGAAAACATTCACATTTGGGAAGAAAGAAGTGGCACAAGAGGCAGAGACAAGCACACAGAACAAGAGACTGTCAACAGCGGGAGTGAAGAAAGGGAATTTGGAAGAGAAATTCTCCAGAGAAGGATGCTGGCATATGAAAGGTGGCAGAAAGAAAGAACATCTTTGTCAGTCACCCAATCACCACTGGCACAGGTAGTGAAAAGTTCAGTGGTTAGGGCTGATCAACCAGATCTAAGGAAGTGAATTTAAAGAGTAAATTAGCTCACAGAAGCATTTGTTTAAGAAGAATGTCAGTTAAAGAAACAAATAAGATACTACTTGTAGGTATGATAATGCATTTGGAGGCAGCATGAAGGCAGAGATTAAATGGGCCAAAGAAGGAAGAGTTAATTTTGAGAACAAGGAGCTGTAAGGCAATGAAAGGGACAGTCTGGGGCCTAACTGGAAAATTATGGTCTCTTCAGACTTCTTTACTTGCCTACTCTGCTAATGTCTAAATTTGAATGGATTTTTCTGTTTCTTGCAATCTTAGGGAGTATGGGTTGCATGAATGAGTGAATGAATGAATGAAATAAATAGAACTGATTTTTCTACAGGTGACTTCTCCTGTGGATCCAGCTCCTGGTGTTCTTTGAATCTTCCAGAGACATTAAAGGAAAGGAAGGAATCCCCAAGTCACCCCCAATCTCTGCCCATATTTGGAAGCTTCAACTTGGCTGGATAGCCCCTTCCATTAGAGCACCTTACCAAAATTTTGGTCACCATAAAACTTTGCCTAAATCCCTCCCTTGATTGAAATGCCTTGCTAACCCCATGCCAGAGAAAATTCTTCAGGACTTAGCTCAAACATCAACTATTCCAGCAAGGTCCCTCAAGTGTCCCAGCATAGTGCCATAACACAAACTCTGAATTTTTCCTTAGAACATGTTGTTTGGGTTGACAGTGACGTTCCACAAAGCTAAGGCCATAAGTGGCTCTTTGGGTACTCCTAAGAGTCATAGGAACACAGCCACCTTAAAAGCTCCATAGTAGAATAGCACAAGCTGCCTTTTGGCAGTGGCAAAACAGGAAAGGTGAGGAGTGTTATCTTGCTGAGTTGTATGGCTGGGCTGCCCCACGAGTGGACTGTAAGGCAGTTGGCTGGCCGTGATTATATAAATGAAAGCACATGTTAGACTCCTAACAAGGGTGAGGTGAACTGGAATATGAGCTGGAAAAAAAAAAAGAATATGACAAGATACACGGCCTCATTGAGTCATTTAAAACTTGGTGCCTGAGACTGCATAAAAAGGTACATAGGCAGCTGGATGCTCAGGTCTTAAATGTTTAAATGCTAAAATTATCTGCTTTGCCAATTTCTTGAGCAACTATTATTATGGTATAGTAAATTACCCTAAAATATAGTGACTTACACAATGACGTGTATTCTGCTCACTGATCTGCAAACTGGACCTGTCTGTGTCAGCAAGGGGCAGCTAGAAGGCCACAGCTAGAGTCCACTTTTGAAATCTCTTTGAAATTTCACTTCTTCGTAGGTCTGGCCTCTGGGCAGCAGAGACTCACACTGCTGGGTGTTGGATCAGCTGAGTTCTGAAATGTTCTCAAGTCCTTGCTTGCTGCTTTGGGGGTCTCCAATAGAATGGCTCAGGACTTGAGTCAGGATAATTTAGACTTCTTACATATGGGTTCAGGGCTCCCAAAGTGCCTGTTTCAAGAATAAGTAAGCCAGAGTTCAAGGGGAGAGAGACACTGTCTCCAGTGATAAAGTAAAACTCCATATTATAAGAGGATCAAATGAGGCAGAATAATAGAGTGTGACCTTCTTCACAAAATACAATCTTCCACACCTGTACTTTTTCTGTGGCCTACCTTTTGATAACTCCTCTTTTGGTTACATCTTGTCAGCACTCTGATTACTCACTAATCTTGATCAATAGATCAAAAAATTAAAACAGGATCCATATCAAGCAAAACTGTATTCCTTTTCTTGCTACTTACATAATCTTAAATAATTAATTTGATCTTTACAGTTTACATTTCTCACCTGGACAGAAAAGGAAATGAAAGTGTCTCCTCATATCACTATTCTCAATAAATTTACCTTCCTTCTCATGCTGATCGCTGGTCCCACACAGAACAGAGGCCTTCATCCTGTTCCTGACCTTGTAGGAAGCCTATTCCCTGGCCATCCAGGCCTGAAAGAAAAATAAAACAAAATCAGACCTCCAATAAATACAAATAAGTGTATCCAATCTACCAGCACTGCTTTCAAATGATAAATTACTTAATCGTGTGCTAATGATGAACAGTCAACTTTCCTGATGCCAGACATTGGAGGCTGAGGGTGACCTCTGTGCCCTGCTGTTAATTATTTCCTTCACTAACTACAAGAGACACTTATTAAATTTAGAGACTCTGCCTGTTAGGGGGCACACACAAGTGCAGCTGATGTTTTTTTTCACTTTCTGAATTAAGGAATAAAAATGCCCGCTGAGGTAAGAAAGAACAGTCTTGCTGAGGTGAAAAAAAAAGCAGATGGAAGTAATAGTCAAGCCACTTTAATCTATGGAATAAGTCCTTCAATCTGTACTTTCCACACATGGCTGTTGCTCATATCCCCACACATACATACACAAACACACATGAACATATGTACACATATACATACATATCCGCCACACAAGCACACACTCCTTTTGCACACACAGAGCCATATACATGGCCTTCTGGACTGGAGGTGGATATTGCCTCAGTACCTTCAAGATCCTCCTCCTAAACAATCTTGGAGAAGGAACCAATGTGTGCCTCTTCTAAGATACCATTTAGAGGAAGTTGTTCTGACTGTTGCTGTGGTATTTTACACCATGCTTGGTGAATTATGAACCATTTTCAGGCCACTGCAGAGTTCACAAATCTAGGCTGATCATAACGGCCTGGGGATTTTATTAGAACACATTCTTGGATTCAACCTCAGATCTCCCAGGTCAGAATACACAAGGGCTGGAGTCCTCAGGTCTCTCTGTGTAATACGTTACTAAGCCCATTTGCATTCACTTTGTGGATAGGAGATCTGAGGAAAACATTATGCTGAAAGGGAGCAAATAGTCATGCAGCAAGAAAGACAAAGATGACAAGGATGATCTCCATTTTCTGGTTCCAGTCTAATCTGAGGCCTTTGGACATGCCTTGAAATACTCCATTATCTTTATAATAAACTTCCCCTTTGTGCCTCAGCTAGTTCAAGTGATTTGCTCTTACTGTATTCCAAAAGGAGCTCTAAGCCATACAGGCTCCCAAACATCTTAATAAATCCTTTTGCTGGTGATGGAGGCAATGCACAAGACAAAGACCCTGTCTTTTGGCTCTTCAGCAATTCTGCAGAGGCCAAGGATGGTCTGCTCTCTCTCCACATCTTGAGATGTGTCCCAGCCCCACAGAGGTTTCCCTTAGCAAGGGAGAAAGGTGGGATATTCTGCTGCCCCACCAGAATAACAGCCACCTTTCCACCTGCAGTGATGAAAACCATCATGTTCTGGAAACTTCTTTCCAAAGATGACCTCTGTTTGCCCAATCTAAAGGCAGACACAGGACCAAGGAAGCAATTTTGGAGTTTATGTGACTATGAAAGGCGAATATATTACTAAAATCCATTACTTTCCAAAGCCCTGAAAAGAAAGCTAAGAGCTAAATTCTTGGTTGATCTGTCATAAGAACATTATACTATGTAGAAGCTTTTTTGTATTGGTCTCATTTCTGGATCCATTTTATGTCCTTTACCTTGCTTTGCCTTTTTTTTTTTTTCTTTCTGGCTTCTAATATATGTTATTTTGCTGCATTTTAAGGCTCCGTAAATCCTTTCTGGAACAAGAAGCAATATAAAAAAATAAAAACAGATTTCCCCTTTGTTACCAGAAGAATTCTTCCACTCTTATGTTATACATAGGCATGTAAAATGATGGATAGTCAGAAATAAAATATTTAGGCTCAGTGTTCCATCAGCCACCACGAGGCATTTATTGTGCACTTCTTGTGTAGTAGAAACTGTAAGGACTACAAATAAGTGTCACAAAAAGCAAAATGTTCCCATCATAGTCCAGAGTCAGAGGACATGCAATATTTAGGAAAGAAAAAAATATCCAGGGATACAGGGTCATAAATAGAAGCAACCTTTGTGGACCAGGTCTGTCAGAGAAAGCCATGGGAAGGTGAGAAGACTTTAACTGGGCTTTGAGGAATACAGAAAATTCTAACATGGGAGAAAGAGAAAAGAGAAAGATACTGTAATCTAAAGCATGCAGGAAGAAAGAAATACACTGACAGGAAAAAGGCATAGCTTGGGTTCTCACAGCTGAGTGTCAGGCTTACTCAGAAGGCTTGGGCCCAACACTCAGAGTTTCCTATCAGCAGATGGATGGTGGCACCAGAGATGTATTCCCACAAGGTGCCACTAATTAAAGACCTACACTAGTCCCATAGAGCATTTTGGAAAATGTCCCCTGCTAAGCAGAGATGGAGGTTTCTGTAGTAACGGGAGGTGAAATGGAAAGGCATCTGCTTGGCCACGTGCTCTCTTGATCACCCAGAGCTGACCTCTTATGCCCTTGTCAACATCCTTCATTAGGCACAGAGCCTCCCCTCCCATGCACTTCTCTCTGCCCTAGACGAAATTGTTTACAACTTGCAGCAATGAGAACAAATGTAAATATGCTGACTCTCTCTTTCCCGGACTTGGCTCCTTGTGCAAAGTTCTACCAACCACCCCAAGCCCAACCCAGAAAACTTCCTTAGATGGTTTTCTTCAGGACTTTCCCTGTCCTCTGTGTTCTGCAGCAAGCCTGTCATCCTCATCCAGCACACACTCAACTCTCATGTCTTGGTGCCTCCTCTGGTTGTGGCTTTTGCATACAACTCTCTGAGATGTGCAACAATGGGCTATAGGGTGAGGCCTCAAGAGTCGCTTCATGAAGGATCATTCTGACCTGGCTATATCCCCCCATCAAGGACCACTTACAAATTGAGTGATTTTTAGAAAATTACTTGATAGTACAACCTCAGCTTCCCTATCTTGGAAACAAAATAATATCTTGATATGAAAATCTGAGACAAATAATGGGACCTGATATAACACTGAATCAGTGAGTGAAAGTAATTTTTGAGATAATTTTACTGTTCAGGGAAACATCTTTATTATACAACAAATATTTCTTAACTTCCTTCTCTGTGCAGGTGTTTAATATATACTTTACATGGCAAATTTAGATAGATGCAAACAACTATCATTCAAGACATTATGAAGGGAGTGACATACGACAGAAAGACAATTATCCACAAAGTTCAAAGGACTTTTAGGCTGAGGCTCTCATGGAAAATTTTGGAAAAGAAATGTGAACTTGAAAGGCGTTTGAGAAGACTGGGTAGACAACAACTGGTAGTCACTCCAATCGGTGGAAATGACAGGAGCAGCGACCATAAGGGGTGACTGTAAAATACTGTCTGGCAGTGTGAGCAACTGCCGTGACTTCTGAGGTCACATAGAAAACACAGAGACAAAGGCCAAGGATGGTCTGATCCAAGAGAAATGCCACTGTGTTTGGCATTCTTCAACACACACACACACACACACACACACACACACTGACTAAAGAATTGGGGCTCGGTAAATACTAGCTGAAGAAAACAAGTGGTTTGAACTCCTTTTTATGAAAGTCCTGGAGTCAAGAAACTAGGCTCAATATTAGCAATTAATTGATCAGGGACGGTAATATGGCACTGCACATGGAAGATGTACTATAGGTGGTACAACTGAACAAACAGGTCAATAAGTTCTCTAACCTACATGCAAGAACCCCAAAATACTATGTGATGGCTAAGACATTAAAAGTTCTAATTAAACTGCAAGTTTTGTAACATACTGGATTCCCTAGGAAGCAGACACTAATGTGGAGGTGGCATGGGAGAAGCTAATTAGACAGAGCTCCCAGGCTCCACATGGTGGGAGACAGCAAATGAAGCAGGACAGGGTGGAGAGAGATGATGGGCTGCCAGTCTTCCCACCAGTTTGGAGCATAATCTTTATTCTTTCAGGGTAAACTGAGCTGCGTGTCTCGGCCTTCCCTACATGTATTATATGCACAATGGTATTTGCCCTTCAATTATTGAATCTGCCTCACAAGATCAGAGGCAGGCAGTAAAGTGATACTGGCTGGGAAAACAAAGGAAGCAGGAGATAAGTAGCAAGGTCCTTTATCCAGGCCCCCCTGGTACAGGTAGAATAGGAGACCCTAGGCTACAAGGAGGAAAACTGAGATAAATATATTCTATCAAAGGATCAGACACAAAAAACTAAGAAAAGAAGACTATCTTATATTACCTTTACCCATATTGACAACTGAGTCAAAGAGTGTCATTATAAATAGCAATACATCATGAATGCCTAGTACCTACTGTGCACCAAGCACTGAGCTTTTCATGAACAAACTTGAAACCTCGTGGCAGTTCAGCAAGATCTGTATTATTAAAGCCATTTGAGAGAAGAGAAAACTGAGATTCAGAAGGAAGATTGCTGCCAAGTTCACGGATCTTGGGAGTGGCAAGTACCTAAATGGGTCTCTAGAACTCCAAATCCATGTTCTCACCCACAGTACTGTGTCTTTCCAAAGTACCAATATTCCAAAGGGATAATGCAGGGATTACTGCGGCATTAAGGGGAAACTCCAGTTGCCATTCCTGCTTCAGCCAAGATGGCCCCACTGTATCTATTCTATAAATGAATCCAGTTAAGATCACACGGTGGGGGAGCAGGTTTAAAGTCACTACTCTGCCTCTCCTATTAGTACGGCTGGAGTCTTTGAAGCCTCTTCCTCTTGTAAACCATGTTCTTTAGTCAAAGAATGCAATACAACATGGTGACTAAGATTTTAGCCTTCAAAGTTAGACCAAATGGGCTATAATCTCTACCCTAGGAGCTGTGCGACCTTGAGCATTATTTAAGCACACTGTGCCTTAGTTTCTACATTTGTATAAAAGAAGTCAGAACTATCTTAATAGGTCTGTAGTGTAAAATGCTTAAAACATTTATCAAATAGCAAGCACTACATAACTGTTAGGTACTATAAATCATGATCTATGATCTAGTGCTAATCTGAAAATCAGCCTCCACATTACCCTGTATCTACTAGCTTACCCAGTCCCAGAA